TGGGGGATATCAAAATTGTGTTTTAAAATACTGTATAAAGTTTTATTTGTGGGGACCGTGGGATGCTATTCATCTGTCCTGCTTTAAATGCCTGCAATGTGAGAGTTTCCTTTTCATGGTTTAGTTTTTGAGGTAGAGCTACAAATGTTTGTCCAAGCGGATTGTCCAGGTTTCCTTTTTAATCTGCATGAATAGCAGGCTTCTCTAGGACACAGTTTATTTTGTCCAAAATAAGGCATCTAAAATAGATCTGATAAACCTAGTCTAGATTTCCAGAGCACCTAGAAATGCTTCTTAATTTACTGTAATAATTGGAATTTACTAGCAAAGATTTTTAGAGTGAAACTAGACATTTACTTAGTAAATGTTTGCACTTCATCCTAACCAGTTAGCCACTATGTGGGAAAATACAGCAATATTTTTCAAAGCAGCACTTTAAAGTAGTTAGTCTGCAAAAATTTAAGTTAGTCTCATACTAAAAGCCACAGAAGTCTTGAATACCCTGTGAACTGTAATCCAGAAATCAATGTAGTTGCTAAAAGCAAATAAAGGAATTTTAATGCAGGTCTTAATATGTTCTAGCCCCGTAGTTACTGTGGTTGTCTCCATGGGGAAGACACTGTTGTGGAGGATTCGTGAACATCATGGTAGTCTCTGTAATGAAGTTAAATAGCAAATCAGCTTGGCCTAAGGAGGAGGAGAGACAGACGCTAGCTCCTACACTGGAACTTGAATAATCTGCCTTCAAAGCAAAAAAAAATTTTTGTCTTTCTCAGGCTCAGTCTCAGGGATCGATAACATTAAAAATAATTCCAGCCGTCAAAGAAGAAGATCGTCTAAAAGACAGCAAGGTACGTAACTTAGTGAAATACTAAAGCACGTGTTTTTATATTTACACACTGCTTGCATCTCCGTAAAATGCAAGATTCCTGTTGTTTCGGTGAGGAGTGTCACAGACCCATCATTGAACTAAAAAGATAGAGCAGTTTCTTGTTGTAAAATGCAGTGCCCTTTTATCCAGTAGAATTACTTAGGTGACTTCTCTCTTCATCATCTTGGCGCACGTTCTTTCATAGCACTTCTGAAATCTAGACTTTTCTTTTTGTTTACGTAATTAAAATTGATGTTCCTGCCAGTGTCCTCTTACCATGACGGCTGCTATCTGTCCCTTATCTCTGGACATTTTGCCACTTGCTTGAGTCAAAACAGACCTATTTGTGACTAGAGCTGCATTCATCATTTGATGCCGTTAGCCCACTGTAAATATCAGCATGCCTTTCAGAGTGCTTCGTTTGCCCTCCTTGATCAGCAATGACTTACTGTTCAGCTGGTCCCTTACAGGACTCCTCTGTTAACCTCTATTTCTGCTTCCCTGCTTTGTTGCCAAATTTTTCCTTGAAGCCCCGCAAATCACCTTTAAAGTAGTTCTACTGCAATGTGTTAAATAGTGGTAAGATGCAAATGATGCATTAAATGTACATTTTAAAGACTGTGTTTATAATTGGGCAACTTTGCCATAAATCCCTTTTTATTGTTTTCTCCCTCCCCTTATTTTTTTTTTTTTACCCTTTGGTTGTTGCATTTTTTACTTGCGTAGACTGTGAACTGTGTTTCTTGGGACTTTGAGAACCAAAAGCATAAAGGAGAGATGGAAGAGTACATATAGTTAGCAGTGTAAGCATTGGGGAAGCCTTTTAAAGGTAGTTTGAGATTTCAAATAGGACAAGAAAGGATGTGTTACTTTCTTTTAAAGGTGTTTATGAGGGCGCTTTTCTGCTATAATCCTAAAGAAGACAGAGCTATTCCTTGCCAGGAGGCTGGGCTGCCATTTAAGAGACGACACATCCTAGAAGTTGTAAGCCAAGATGATCCGACATGGTGGCAAGCAAAGCGTGTTGGAGATACGAACCTCAGAGCAGGCTTGATCCCCTCAAAACAGTTCCAAGAAAGGTTTGTCAGTGAAGATTACAGATTCTTTTTTTTCCACACATAGTGTCACACTGATTTTGTGTGCTGCTTTTTTCACAGGAAATGAAGGGCAGGATCATGCCAGGGTGAATACCAGATGCTTAGAGGAAAGTGCTAAAAAGCTCAATCTTCTCCAGTTATATAATAAACTTCCTAGCTTTCCTTGGCTAGTTTGCCATTGACTTATGCTTTATAGCATGAGGACAGAAGCACTTGCTGAACAAACATGTATGAAAGTAAATGTGTAGTATCTCTTGATCCTCTTGGCTTACGGAGACACTGCATTTCAGACTTGTACAGGAAATGCCGATTTATTGTGACAATTTTGCATTTATGCGTGTAGTAGTAGCAAAAAAATGTATATCTCATCTTTCTTCTGGTTACTAAGAGTATTTAGCTTGGACACAGAATACCTTCTAGAGTTTGAAATTTCTCTGTTTTGACAGCAAGACATATGTATCTTCTAAAGCAAAAATAGCCCTCGAGTCTTGTATTTACAGGACAGAAGTCTTACGTTTAAGAAGGAATCTGATTTAGGCCACTGGTCTCATTGTGTGATTCTTATTGCAAATTACTGAATGTGTCTTCTGTGGATTGTAGGTGTTACAAAGGTGGGGTATCTAACAGTTAAACAGGTCGGACTCTATTGCTGGCCTCCAAGATTTGCATAGGGTTTCTAACAGAGGACTTTGTTCCACTGTATGAGTGCTCCTTTCTGGAGCAAATTCTGCCTGAACAGCTATATCCCTTTTCCTGTGTGTGCTTATATGTCAACAGATGATGCTGCACTGCAGTCTTTCTTTTGTTTGTTTTTTCCTTTTTTTTTTGTTTTCAGATGTTTTAAACTACATTTCAGTGTATGCAAGAATATAGAAATTGCTTCAGTGTCTGTTTGCTCTGAGTGACTGTGTAAATGCCTGAGCATCTTTAGTCTGTTACGAATGTTGGTCTGTTGCAAAAAAAAAAAACCAACAGTGTGGAAGACAAATGTGGTTTCCTTTGCCCAACGGTTAGGGGTTTCTTGGGGGTTGGATTTTTGTGCTGGGTTGTTGGCGGGGTTTTTTGGTGTTGGGCTTTTGGGGCAAGGGGCTGGGTTTTTTTGAGCAGATTCAAGACTGGGAGATTAGGAGTTGAGCTCTGGTCCATGATTTTAACACTTCAGAATTTCACTTGATACTCTGTTCTTATTTTTTCACACAAGCTGGGTAACTTAGTTTGTTTACTAGTAAATAACAGAAAACTCCAATTAATCTGGAAGGCAAGGAATAATTTCTAAGTATGCATAGCTGCAGTGATTGTTTTGGACAAAGGTTATCTATGTTTGAGTTCTCTTTGAGGTTAGTAGTTTTAGGATTGTGGCAGACAGGAATGTTGCCCATCCTTTGTAAAAACAGCAAATAGAACTTGGATTCCCAGCAGAGTTAGAGCAGAATTTTCCTAATCTTGTGAAAAAGATTGGGTGGGGAAAAGGAAATGGAAAAAAATTATATTGATAAAAGTAATGTGCTACTGATTTCTGTGCTGTGATGTATGAAAGCCTAAAATGTTTTAGAATCTTCTCTGTCATTTATCAGTAGCAATCTGTGACCGTCATAGTTTTAAAGAAAAAGTCTTTTAAAAAGTTGACTCAGAGACATTTTCTATTTTTCAAGGTAAAGCACTATTTCGTTCTGTATTTTCAATGCTGTATGTATACGATGCTATATATGACCTTATGTGGCTAAAATATAATTTTCTGTTTAGACGATTGACATACAGAAGAACAGTAGGCACTCTGCAGAATCCCAGAACTGTGAAGAAACCGTTATGTAAGTCTGGTGTGTTCCTTCAGCAATGTCTTAGTTGATACCAACTTCCCAGTATTTTTCTGTTACTTCAGTAATAATGTACTTGAAGATGTTTTGTGTAATCTGCTACTGATTTGCATAGATACAAGCTGCCACATGAGAGGATTTGGGATTAAGCTTTATCCAGTGTTGCTAGCGCCTATTGTTTTCAAAAAACATGTCTGTCCCTCTCTTCCTGCTTTCAAGAACATGAGGCCTTACACATTGTTCAGATGCTTTGAAATTTGCTAGTGTTCACATTTTTTCTACGGTTTGGAACTTGAAAGCTGCAAAAGTAACTCATTGCACACTTCTTGAAATTCTTGCATAAATGCATGAAATGACTCTTAAGTTGATAGGAAAATAAACTAGCTTTAAGGAGGATAAAAATTACTGGAGCTGGCAATACCATCTGCATTTCAGGCTTAGCATGACAGAGCTGGTGTTAAGTAGACTTTAAAGTGATTCTTGTTTATAGCTCTGAAGCCTCTGTCAGTGAATTATTCACACAAAAACTACTTGTGATGAAATTGCTAGTCAGCAATGCAAGGCAGAAGACATTCTGGATTGACCCAGAATATAACATTCCTGTTGCTCTTGAGTACTGCAGCACAGCTGTTAGCGATTTGTGGGGCAGCCCTGTGACTGTGAAGCCAGACATTGTGCTAAGAGTTGCCACCCTCACGTAGACTAGGAATCTGGAAATTGTCCATCTTCAATGATATAAGTGAACTTACGACCCATGGTGCATGGCACATCTTGTGAAGAGATACAGGTATTCTTATGGTGCAAAGAGGAGGGAAGATGCTCAACCAAATGATAAAATAGCATTACTGATTTAAATGAAGCTTTTCTGAATTAGTTTCCATTGCATTCAATGTTAGGAGGCATATAATGAGGATTGCTGCTTAAGTTTTTTCTCAGATGTTTTGCAGACAAACTGGTAACTGGCTATAATAATGAATTTTAGCAAAAGAAGTCTTTAAACAGTTGATAAGGGTACATTACTGCATTATTTTTTTTTAAGATAGAAAAGCCTGTTAAGCAAATCAGACCAGAAGAACCTTCCTTTCCATTACCTCTAATTTTACTCAATCATTTGCCAGTCTTTTAATATCACACCAACTCTGCCTTTCATGCTAACTAAAGATGATCAGCCTTCTGATAAAGGTAGGTACTCTCATAAGTAATTTTCTGTCTGAACGTAAACAACCAATGCATTTTCTGAAATACTTGCTAAGCCCCCAAGCAAAGAGAATAGTAGATACAGCTTATTCCTACAGCAGGTTTTTTCCTGAGCTATTATTTAAGCTAATTTAATTTGGATTGATGACCTAGGTAGTGATAACTTCCAAATTTACTCACAAATCAAGAGAAAAAGACTTGTGTCTTCTGGTACGCATTTACATGTTCTGTAGGTTTCTGAATGAGGTTGAAAGAGTTGCAAGTTAAATGCAGTCTCTGTATCTGGTATTTTTTTAAAAATAAATACTGGGGTTGAACATTTTAAAGCACCTGTATCAATCAAAATTGATTTTTCTTCGCTGTTCGTTTGGACTGTTTTCTGTGTTACTTTCATTATGAGCAACTCTGTTAAGCTCATGCAGTTTATATGTCACTGTACCACACGCCTTTTGAAATAACAGGTATTTTCTGTTGAATTCTGCATGCTGTGACTTTTTTTTTTTTTTTGCATCACACTTGCTTCTTGAGAATAATATTCCAAGTATCAGTATTTCATCAACTTCGGTGAAAGTACTAATCATATTCTATAATTAGCTGGCCGTGACTGGTATACCCTATGGAAGCACGAGTGTGAAACTAGAGTCTACCTTCAACAACAGAAAATTGCTTTGATCTTAGCTATGGATAGGTATCTATTGCTACTAGTATCTTCTGTTAATGTAGGCATCATGTTCTATGAGTGTATGTTGGCATTGCTTGAGTACATACCTGCATGCAACTATTAGTTAAACAAAGCTCTTTCTCTGGATTGGTGCATTTTGTTAAGGGTTTAAGCTGGATATATTTTTGTCTATAGTTGGGTTTGTCCCAGAACCCTACTCTTCCTTCTCAAAATGAGCAGAGTTCTGTGGATATTGCATGGTACAGGTGCCTAAATTTTAACAAACCATGTAGCCCTCTTTCAGGAAGTGTGAGAACTCTGTATTTATGTTAGGATTGTATAGTGTTTTGCAGCTAAGAATTGTGGTTTTATTTTGCATACTTCTAGGCGCCTTGAGGGGTGGTCACAGTTTGAGGAGGGGTAGGTTGGCGCTTTTTTAACATAGATTTGCATATTTTACATACATACCTATGACAAAAGCATTGAATCTGTACGTTTTTAATAAAGGATTAATAAGCAGTGATGATTTATCTTGGTCAAAATGAAGTTGTTTAGAGCTCATATTTCAGTCATCTCTGATTCCTTTTTCAAGCCCAGATGATACCAAAATGTCAGAAGAGGCAATATTCTTACACAGTCATACCCATTTATAAAGTCATACATTTAAAAAAGTGCTGTGTTTGGAGCCTTCTTTTTTACTTAAGTCTGAGTATTATACTGCTAGCAGCAACACTGGTCAAATGTAATGAATGCTGAAGAGCATAAATTCTGGGAACCATAAATACTGAGATGTAAAATTCTCTTGTGCAATATCAAGGATTTTTTTAATCCTTTTTTTAATTTGCCTAGCCAAGGCAAATAATTTTTTTGTATCATTAATATTTGTGTTAAAAAAGCCTGTGCATATAATGCAGGATATAAAACTACTTCTTCCCTCACCAATGAGCTAGACTGGTATTGCAGCCACTCTAAGATATCTCCCTCCTCCCCTCTCACTCCCCTTTCCTCTGTGCCCTTACTCCTCCCCCTTTCCCCCCTTGCTTTTTAATTTACAGAAGACTGTGACTGTGAAGGATATTTCAACGGACAGTACATAGGTGAGAAACCAAAATCCCTTTCCTCTTCCCTAACCATCCCCTCACCCCCAGCAAAAAAAACCCACAACCAAAGAAAGGAGAGGAGGAAAACAAACAAACAAACCCCATGCCATACCGCACCCCTCAAAACCACCACACCTTGAAAAACCACCCCCACATTAAAAAAGAAAAACTAGCTTATTTACATTAGAGTTAATTTCCCATTCATTCATAAACTAGATTATCTCTGTGTAGAGACATAATTGGACTTTGGCATAGCCAACACTTGGCAATTCAAGGTGATATGAGGGGGTTGTTTATTATAGATTGAGTGCTTGGTTTTCTACCTGATACGCAAATTTTTCATCTAGAGGATTAGCATATGTGCACTGATTCAATTCTAAAAAAAATTTGTGAGTAACTTGTATCGAAAGACAGAGTAAATTCTAGCTGAACAAGCTTGAAAGTTTAGGTAAGTGGACACATGGTTTAATATATCTTTTTTTTTTTTTTTTCCTCTACAGCTGGCTTACGTAGGAGCTTTAGACTAAGTCGTAAAGAAAAGGATAACAATTTGAGTGAAGGAAAGCAAGTGGAGCAGGCAGATGCAGCAGAGTTCCTAACGTACGAAGAAGTCACAAAATACCAGCAGCAGCCTGGTGAACAGCAGAGGCTGGTGGTTTTAATTGGTAAGATACACAATTGGTTCAAAAATTTGCACGTATCTCCCTGTTGTCTTATCGCTTGCCCTCCAAAAGGCTTTCTCTAGGTGTTTGGTTTTGGGCTTTGTGGTTTTTGTGGTTCTGGTGGGGTTTTTTAAATGGTTTTTCTGGTTTTGGTCAAAAGTTTTTTGTTTGTTTGGTTTTTTAAATTATAATTAAAACGCAAAAAACCCCAACCAAACTCATCAAATCCTTCTAAAAATAACGATGCAGGACTATTTCTCACTTTTCAGATTCACTTTCTATTGGTTCTCACTCAAACATGTGCATACTTGTGCTGTCAGAACAATGGATGGAAAGGTAGATGTTAGAATTATCTTAACAAAATTTTGCATGCAATTTTAACGCAGTGTGCTTAACAGCTTTGTGTGAAGCCAGTTTCCCAGGATGGCGTAGAAATCCAGGGTATCTCATAAAACTGCTAAAATCATAGGTTTTCTGACTTAGTGCCTGACAAATGTTTGTCCAACAGCTGTTCACAGACTCAGTTTGTCCTTGATGATGTTTTTCAAAGCAGAATGTGGTGAGTCATGAGGTCTCTCATGTACAGGTTTCTTCAAGCCCAGGTTTCTTCAAGCCCACTCCTGTATCATATTATCTGTGTGAAATTGATATTATTTATCCTCTTTGCAATATTCCACACAAAAATACGTCAGTCAGTTCTATTTTATTAGGTTGTTTGGGGGCCAAATTAAGTGAGCTCAAGCAGAAGGTTGTGTCAGAGAACCCACAGGAGTATGGCGTTGCAGTTCCACGTGAGTAAAATTTGCTGACTTGTGTATCACCACTTTATTGCTGTCGATTAACAGCTGCATTGGTGAATGGTAATTTGTGTTTTGACTGGATTATATGCATGTTTCAGAAGTACTTACAATTACTTTTCTCATTGTAATATGCTATGTTTGCCCTTAATAGCTAAACAGATCACTATATAATTTGGCACATACAGCCTTTGGAATTCTGTCAACTCGGTTGATTTTTTTTTTTTTAATTCTGTTTTCCCAAGTGAACAAATTGCATTTTCGCACTGTCTGTTAAAAAAATAATGAGAAACTGAATACTGGAAATAAAAATAAGACTATTGTAAATTGCAAAAAGAAAAAGTGTGGAAAAACTAGTATCTTAAGATTCAGCAAAAACATAATGTGTGTTTAAAAGAGAACGCTTTTTTTCAGAATATCATACTGGCTAAAGCTTAAAAAAGTAAAATCTAAAAGAAGTAGACAGCAATAAACCAAGTCAAAATTTTTACAAGATTTTAAGTTGCTGATTAGTATATCGAGGCTGTTCAAACAAGCCAGTCACAGTGGTAGAGAAATTAATGATTCTGCTGTATGGTTTTATGCCTAGAGTTACACTGAAATTTTTTTCTGGATTATTTTTGAGAAAAAATATTAGACACTAAAAAAAAAAATCATCATCAATGTTTGTGTTCCCCAACAAGCTACTTTGCAATCCAAGAAATTCACATTGAGGGCACTGTTTAGATGTTATTTAAGACTTCCAATAAACATCTGTCAGGCAGATGTTCAATTAGTTGACAGTAGAACTCATTTGGGTAATTTTTACTTGAATTTAAACACGTACATAAAAAACCAGCAGACATCACTTTTATGGCCAGGCATAGATTTGTAGAATGATCACTGAAGCTTCTCCTACAGTAATAACAATTACTAAAAGAAATTACAAAGTCAAAGGTAAGGGACACGCATAATTATGTGAGTTTCACAGTAGTGTGAGAGAACAGCCGGGGATATTCTTACTGTAAATTCAGAGGCCACATAATAGGACTTCCCTATTTTTATTTTCTAAGTTTCAAAGAAAATGAGAATCCAATATTCCAAACAGTTAAGAGATACTGTTTTCCATAGGATATACTCAATTGCTTCTACCGGATGTAAGAAGTATGCCTCCTAGTATTTGTGTTAGTTATAGCACATTGGGGAACAAAACAACTTAATTTTTGGTCTTACAATTTTCGAGATTAACGTAAAATATAAATCAAGAATTGTTCTTTCATTTTAATTTGAATTTTCCAGTGTTTAACTACCTTGTTTGAAGTCATGAAAATGTGACTGGACCTAAACAGAGGAAATACAGTTGTTTGCAAAGGCTGATCTGTCTCCCGTGTCTCGCCTCCGTTCTCTTCTAGATACTACCAGGTCAAAGAAAAGTCATGAGAAAGAGGGAGTAGAATACAATTTTGTCTCTAAGCAGTCATTTGAGACAGATGTGCAGCAAAATAAGTGAGTTAATTTTAAAATACTGGCATAATTGACTGTATTACAAAAATATTGCTAGTTAAATCATATGTCAAGTGAATACCAAAATCAGGTGTAAAGTTGGACTAGCTGTATTAGAATGGTTCAGCTTTCCAAGTAAAAAGCTCTTTATTCAGTCTGGACTGTTAATGTGACCTCAGAAATTTAGTAAGAAGCAATGTAGAAACAACATGGGACTAGTAGGTGGATTGTAGGTTAGAATTTAAGCCTGCATATCGTAAGTAGTATGATTGGTCAAAATTAAATGTAGTGAAAGTAACAGATACTTAGTTGGGCCTACTTACTCTACATTTAATATGATGTGTTAACAAGTTTTATTCATAAGTCCACTTTAAAGTGTGTTTGTAGACTGAATTGTGGATATAAAGGCCTTTCTGTAAGATAGACTGTGTTTCCTGAAAGTACAGATTTTTTTGCTAGTCTCCCAGAAGATGGAAGAATTGGGAGTCCATTTCCTTGCCAGCTTTGTTCTATTTTCTGTGAAAAACATCCTCTTTCTTCTATTAGGCTTGAACATCAGTCAGATGAATTAATGCAGCTTCTTCCCCCATTTGCCAGTAATGCTGATTAGCTATTAGTGACATGTGAAGACAACTATTGCTAGGAAGCAACCAGAAGGGAAAAAAAAAAAAACAAACCAAACTTTTTTTCCCTCCCTTGATTTTCCACATACACGCACCCCCCATTTGACTACTGTGACTTCAGGAAATGTTGAAAGTTAAATATTCTTTGTGGATGGTATTTAAAAATGTATTGACTTTTTAGATTTGTGGAACATGGAGAATACAAAGAAAATCTGTATGGTACCAGTCTTGAGGCAATCCGGTCTGTGATGGCCAAAAAGAAGGTTTGTTTGGTGGATGTGGTACCTGAAGTAAGTCTGCAGCTTATTTTAAAGAATGCAACTATTTCTTACTAGGCTGCCAGCACAAGTAACTGATGCTGTGCACCATTTGTAGCTATTTGTCCGGCAAAGAACAATAATGCTCTCGGCACTTGCGTTTCTAACAGGCGGCCTGACTGCTAGCTAAGTGGAATAGGGCTCTTTAGAAAGAAGGCACTGCGGTGTCTGCAGTTCCTACATGTCTAGTTGATACAGCCTAGATAACACTTTATCAGTTCTCACTGTGGGACTTTTTCCCTTGCTGTGGGAGAAATGTGCACCGCTGTTCTAGCCTGCTCCAGTCCTAGAGAGAATACTTAGAGCATGGATGGGTTCTTGTTCCTTCCTATTGCCTCTGAAGTGTTACTAGTGTTGTAATCAGTGCAGGTATATCTGCTCTTAATCCCTCCATACTGGGAGGTAATCTTTGAAATTCTGGTTCACATTTTGTAAGTGGGCTAGGAAAAGACTTGTAATACTACTTCAGATGAATTCCAAGTTTAAAATTTCCAGTGTTTGGCCTCTTAAGCAAAGCAAACCATAACTTACCTGTCAAGTCAATTGGTTTTATACTTTTCTCAGTATCTTTTGTCATGTCCCCTTGTTCCTGGTATCACAATGTATAGCAAGGCAGGTGTGCAGTTAGACCATGCTCCAGGAAGCTCATGTACTCTTGTAAGCTAGCCAGGACACTGACATTAACCTTTCTTTTGAAGAGCAAAAGGTTATTGTGGTCAGGTGTATAGTACACAGGACTTCACACCACAGTGTATATTGGGGAAACTGTTGAACCCAGCTTTAGTAGATCATTGACATATAGCAACAAAATTAAAAATTAAAAATTAAAAATGGTGTAACAAAACCCATCTGTTCACAGGCAGTAAAGCACTTAAGGACTCCTGAGTTCAAGCCTTATGTTATCTTTGTGAAGCCTCTCATTCCAGAAAAGAAAAAACACGTCCTAAAATCTCCCACGTCAGAAGAAATCTCAGCCCCCCTTGTAAGTATTCTAACTTCAATCTCTTCTTTTTAGACATGAAAGAAGTCTTTGGGCTAGTACTTCTATGATACGGAAGAGCTCTTCCTCCATGACAGCAGGAGTCAGTGGGGCACTAAGTGGGTCCTGTGCACATGTAGCCTTTCAGCTGTAACTTTAGAATGAGATTTTTGACTCCCTTAAAACTTGACTGTATAAGTAACACGAAGCAAAGTGCATGTCTTCCATGTGGATCTGTGTACATCACTCAAGGCTGCAGCAGGGGGAGCTGCCACTGAACTCAGGTAAACTAATAAACATTTTACATTTCTGATGAGCAGCCCCATCAAATGGTAAGGGTAGCCACCTAGTCCCGATACCTCAGGTATTAATCAGGTACATGCAAAATGCAGCACGTGGATGTCTTATGAGGACCAAAACTAGACCTACTGTAAACTGGTGAACTGAAAATGTGAACAGAGATACTGAGAGTGCGTAACATCTTTACTTTGAGTATATATGTAACAGAACTTAGTTCATTTGGTAAATTTTCATGTAAGCCCTTAAAATTATTGAACCTGGGGACCGTGGGTCCAGCATTCCTTTTCAATTTTTGAGGAGTATGACTTCCAGGTGTTTGGTTAAGCAGCAACTCTTAACTTCATAAAATGCAGTGTCACCATCTTATGTCCCTCCTGTAACATGTTTTTTCCCCCCTCCGTGTCACCTCTTACATTTTTGAAACAGCCTACCAAATTCCAGCAGTAGCATACCACTCCTTGATCTCAGTTGTCATATCTAACATACTCTTTCCTAATGGTAGCAGCTCTTGTTTAATTTCCTTTCAAGGTAATGCGTATTGTGCTAATATACTTTAAAATGCTCGTAATTAAAAAGACATGCTTTAAATTTCATACCGTCTTCTTGTGTTGATCAGCAGGATGAAGAACAGCAGGAAATTATTAATTCAGCAGCATTCATTGAAGAGCAGTATGGCCATTTAATTGACACTGTACTGGTGAAAGAAGATCTCCAAAGTGCATGTAATCAGCTGAAAACTGTATTAGAGAAACTAAACAAGGATTCATTTTGGGTGCCAGTCAGCTGGGTTAGGTCATAGCTTCTTACCATCTGTTTAACAGAAAGATTGTATAAAAATGTCTTGTAAATATATAGATTAGAAAAGGGAAATATGTCAAAATCACTTCAGAACTGCTGGTCTGTCTAGAAGGTGATTCATAAAGACTGTATGAGAAAAACTAAACAAAGTCAGAAGCTGAGCCTGGCTTCCTGAAAAGTGAATACTCAGCTTAAACAGATCGGTAAAGGATAAGAGTGACTTTTAGACTGTAAATAGTGCATTTTGTGCAGCAGAGTTTCACAAAGGATTCCACACTTCCAAAGAATTTAAGTAGTATTAGGACACAAACCAGCTGGAATTTTCATCCTTTGGCCACATACTTTGTGGCTAGAGTTAAGGCATCTGAACAAGGTTCTTCTCAGGAACCAGTATGCCTACCGAACAAGCTACTTCAGCTAGGTGGGAGGGATGTCCTTTGGAGAGTGCTTACACCATGTCAGTTACTCAAAAGTTCAACTGGCGCTCAGGCCAGCAAAAGATGTTTCCCTTCACTCAGGATCATTAGCCGCAACTCCTTTCCACTTAGGCACTAAAACTAGGCCAGTTATGTAAGCGCTAGATATTTTAGTGGCTGAGAGATGGGGCCTTTTTTTATGTCTGTCCCATTATTTCCCAGTGCCTCCAAGTTGTCTTGCACAGGTGTTAGTCTTCTCATCCATAGCTTGTGCCCACTTTCCCAGTCTCTTCCTACTGACACAGGACAAATGTTAAAACAACCTATGAGTACACCTGCATGACTAGCCAGCTCATAAACCAGACATTTTTTCAGTCTACATGAAAATAGCTGCATATTTTAAGAAGCTTATTTTCTACAAGACATCTTTGCAAATGCCACATGATGGGATACCAACTTGACACCAACATAGCAGCTCTGAAAAGGGTGCAAAAAGGAGGAGGCTGAAGTACCAAGTAGCTGAGCTACAGGTCCTTCTAGCATTTAGGACTACCTTTGTTCCAAATTTGGTAAAGCCTTCCAGGGCATCTAATCTGATATATCTAGTCCTAACGAAGAAATCATAACTGTTAGAGGACTTTGTATGTATTTCAGGGGACTTGAATATACAGGAGTTTTAGATGGATGTAAATAAGAAAATGCAGAGAGGTGAGTCTGGAAGCACCTATGCTTTGTAATTACTTGAAAAAAATTATGAGTATTGTACAGGTGCATGTTAGCTAAAACCAGTTCCTGTTTTTCATTGTGTGCTGAGGTCTAATCTTTCCTGTGTACCATGCCCTTTAACAAGAACTTTTGGTGTACCAGTCTCATTCCTTGCATCTTAACAGTATGTTATTCTTGTTTCACTAACAACATTGCATATTAAAAGCACATTTCCTATATATCAGCATCACTGATTCTGCATTAACTTGAGCCCAAAAAGTTGTGTAGGACAGTCACCTGTAATCTGTCTTCTCCAAACATGGACCCTGGCACCTCTCATGTACTATCCTGTCTGTAGCCATTAAGGTTCCCATTCCTACACGAATAAGCATTTTTCACAGTAGACATCTGCTCTGGCTTGTCAGAGCAGATATGCCGCCAGACTGGTGGCCCATCAGCTCTGCCACTAGTTCTGCAGTCTTGTCCCAGCACCAGAAGTAACGTGGCTTACAGAAGAGAGGCGTTGCCCAGTGAAAGTAAATTTGTCACAAAATTCATCTCTAGTAAAACTGAGTGTAATGTTTTAAAAACTATTTAACGGTGTTCCAAACTAAGTTGTTTTATGAAAACATTAAATGTGCAGGTCTATATTGCAGTTTACAAACAGGTTTTTACAGTCTGCAAGACATAGTTTAGAGGATACGGATTTAATTTAGAGAAAACCAGGTAAGAGACTATCTAAGGGTCAGAATTCACTTAAAGCAAGGTTGCAATCTAACATCTTAGAATATTCCAAATTACTAGCAGTAAATCAATCTGTATGCTTTATGATCTAACATAGTCTAATAGTTGAAATTTGCATTAAGAGAAGCAGGACAAATGACATACAGAGGTACACCTGAAGTTGCAATAACTGAAAAATTACTATCTTCAGTTATAATATTGCTATTAAAAATGAACTGCAATACTCAGTATGAGTTAAATATTTTTTTTAAATGTATGCAGGTTCTCTATTGATGTACAATCACAGATACTAACTTGGGATAATGTCAGAAATGTTTGCTTCACTTTTTTTGGGTTTGAAGTAAAGGAGGGTGAGAAGCTATGTGTTATATGCCAAAGTTAGCTACCTGCAAAGATGAGCTTCAGTTGTAGGGGAAAAAAGAACATTGTCACTGCTTCTGTTCTAAAATTGTAGGAAGAATGTACATGCAGATGGCTTTTATCAGGACACAATTCCAATTCTGACAAGATCCTGACTCCCTGCTGCATTACAGCAATGCCTTGTATATGCTCCTGCCAGTGAGGAGAAAAAAGGTGACATGAGATTCTAGAGAAAATCAGAATGCAAATTTACTTTAACTTGAAGTCCTGCTTTGTAACTTCTAAAAGCATTAAGTCAAAGTACTTAAGCAAACTGAAACTTCTCCGCTTTATCATCTCCCCACACCTAAAATTTATGTAGTCTTTCATATTTCTTTTGCAGTATTGAATGATGAGCCTTGGTTAACATCTGCAGTTTTCAGGTGGTCTTGCATACACTGGCTGTATGTGAAACTGCTTCCTTTTCTAAAAGTCTGTTGTGTACAGTACATCCAGGGCATGCTTCGGTCAGTGAGCTCATACAAGCAGCTGGTTTTGGAGAATCCATTTCTCCAACTAAATTTACAATAGGATTAAGATTCCAATTTACTATAAAATACATACGTTCAATATGACTGTGAGATGCACACAGATTAGAACCTTGATACCTCTAACACAGCTTCTTAGGATGTGTACATTGTTTTTATAAAGTGAAACCTGGGGTTAAAAGAGCATACCTAATTCTCTTGTGAGGAGATAAGGGATGTTGTAGCAGTCTGTTTAAAGTGCCTGCTGTTCTGCCATGAAAAAAAAAAGCTATGGGTTTTCTCACCAGGGCTAATGAAGCACTGTAAGAAAACTGTAATTAATGTAATCAATAGAAGTATCCTTAATCCTTTTTTTTTCCACTGCTCTTACACATCCTGTTCCCTCTGCAGACCAATGACTGATTGACTAACATTCTCAGTCAAGTCTTCTGTAGAAGAATACATAACACTTTAACACAGACTGTACATTCTTCTTCCACCTCCTGCCTGACAATATGCCACAGGCTATCTTAGTTATGCCTACAGATTTTCAATACATAATATTTTAATTATCAGCCATCATTGCCTTTTTCTAAACAGTAGGTTAGTGTTTTGGATTTTTTTGTAATAAACGCATCTTAGTTTGTCTAGAATGGGATACAAAGTATTTTAAGTTCAGAAGATGCCTATCATTGGCTACCTTTTACAACCACGTATCCCAGATACTGCACATTTGGGGTATTAAGAATGCACTAAAATACTACTTTGTTTTGCCCTTTCACATAGTATCTAAAAACTTGTAGAGAACCTGAGAAGAAGCAAGGGGAATATGTGGGACAGGTACAAAGATTCTTTCCCCTTACAGTTGTTACTGCTAATTGAGCACAACCCATCATAAGCCGTGTCTCAGGTGAAAAAAAGGCTACAGTTACACATAGTAAAACCTGTGAGCTTCTGAAGTTCCTAATTAGCAAGGTGAAAAAATACAGAAAGAAAAAAAAAAAAAGGCAAGCCTGCCTAGGACTCAATGGCTTCCTAAAAGTTGGCTGGGGCCATGACTGAAATTAGGTTCCACTACTGTAATGTAAAAGAAAGGTTCTTGTTCTGGTGATCGTTTATAAAGAAACAGAGCATTATGGTTTATTGCTCTGCCCTAACTGAAATCAGTATTTTTGCTTATGCATGTGAGTGAGTAGACAACAGAAAGATTAAGTCTTGAATGTAATGTACTGGTGCATTTTCTTCATACTAAAATACTGGCACTATTTTTTAAGAGGATCAGAATAAAATAGCAACAAAATGCAACTTCAGGAAAGCAGCCATTAGTACTAAGACCAGACATGCTTTTTATTCATATAGGCAGCCCTTCAACCCAAATTTCTACCTTACTTTTGTTCTAGAAAATGCTTCCCTTGCTCCCTTTTATAATTACCTAATGATTTCTTATTGAGATTTTTTAAGGTGTATGTTTTTTCTAGTTCAATATACAGTTAAATAAATAGCTACAATTTTAAAAGCATCCCAATACCATTTATTTAGTTTGACGTTATAATAAAATAATATTTATACAAAACAATAATCAAAGTACATCCCTGCCAAACAGTCTCTGAATTCTTTTGATTGTAGGTGGGCTTACAGACTGAAGGCAGAACTGTAGCAGATGGGGGTACATGGAGCTTCAGGCTGAGAATGCAGTTGAATTCTAAAAATAACAGCAGAACAGAACTCTCAAAAGGCATTTAATTCTTGAGGAGATGAGGTAGAAAGGTACTAAATTAGCAGCTAGTAGGTGCTAGTTTAGCTCCCTCTATTATAAATGGCCCCTTCTGAAGCTGAAATGTTTCACCAAGCACTTTTTACAGGAGCCCTTCTGTGAATATAATTTTGTGGGGGAAGGTCCATGTTGAATGCCATACAGCAAGAGCACAGTACTGTAAGCAGCACTATGATTTAATAGTGAAAAATCTGACAGTTACCAGAAAAATACCTAGAGATACTGGTTGTGCAGAAAAGAAGAAGAAATCATATTTTGTTCATGAAGAAAAGTGTATGTTGCTCATCTATTTGGTTTCTGGATCTATACAACTGGTGGCAGATCAAACAAGGCACAGACTAGTGCTTGGAAAGCCCTGACACTTTGAAGGGAAACAAAAAAAAGTCCACTCCATTCAAACAGAACAGCCACCTGGAGATTTAAGAAAGTGGACAGTATGCACCACACAAGCTTCTATCCTGCTGTGCTGAAGATTCCATTAGCTGGATTCCCTGCTTCTCTGTGCTTTTATCCCAAAGACCTGGTGTCTGCAGGATCTTTATGACTAGCTCCTCAAAGGCATCTTGCACTCCATCCTGGGTCTTGGCACTGGTCTCTGGTGGAAGGGGAAGAAAGGAAGGGGGGAAAGTATTTTATCTTATTTGCAGGGGGTATTC